CACACACACACACACACACACACACACACACGCACGCATGCACGCACGCACATATACATTCACAGCTTCCTTCTGTCTCCTCTACAAACATTAGGCACACACTCACACACAGAGCTTTAGCCACCTACAAAAAAGATCATCCCATATCCTATTGTGACAGCTCCCTGACGGGTTCGTCGGTGACAAACAGACCCACAGGACTGATAAAGGACACAATGAAGTGCCTCCCTTACCCACTGAACTCGGGGGATCGGTGACTGCTCCCAACATAACCGGGTTTGGGGACGGGTCTTCGTGGTCAGAGACATTATTGTGAGATTGTGTTATTTCTCCTTTCCCTTTTAGGATCTGCAGCCAGTAACATCGATCGAAAGAAAGAAACCGGTGTCTGTGGTGTAATGGTTAGGCTCTTTGGGTTTTTTGGGTTTGTTTATTTTCAAAGTAAAAATTTTACAGCACTAGCAGCACGACAAGGCCATATAAAAGCCGAAAATTAGATTTGTAACAAAAAAGTTCCGAACACTAAATAAAGAAAGAGGAAATATAAGGACGACAGATGTTTGATAGGAAAGAAGGAGCAAAATGTACCAAAGCACTCGCCAACGGTAAGGCTCTTTATCTCGCGGGATATTACTGTCTGTTCAGAAGTATGAGCCTCACTTTGAAAGTGGATACATTTTTAACCGCTTGAAAAATGATTTTAATGCAATTTAAAATGCATACCATAGTGCGGTCAAAAAGGCACGGCGCAACTTATTGTCAAATCATATCTTCTTAACTATCGAACATAGATCCTCCAACTTTTGCACAATGACTTATATCAATTTGTCTTAACAGGTGAATATTTTTTTCAAACTTCTGCACACTGTACTCAAGAAAATCCCTTAATAAAAATACGAATAAAATATATCAGTCGATAGTGTCTTCAGATTGTAAAAAGTTAACAGCTCGGGCAATATCGCTTTTAAAAGCAAGTCTGTCATTTTTTTTTCAGATAGCAATATTATGCTTATTGAATGTATGTTTAGGGAACCTTTAGAGTAAAAAATGTGTTCACTATACAATTAATTTCTTGTCAAAAGATTTGCTATTAAAAATTGTCATTGGCGAGCTGTGACGTAGGTCATAATGCGTATGCAAAATGCGTGAGAGAAGCGACAAGTTCTGTGAACAATCATAATATTATTTTCCGCGTGAAGGAGATTAATAGTATTTTATATAGATTAATGAAGAAAAGTTTTTAAATCGAGCCTCAGTTGCTGTGGAAAAATGTTATTACGTTAAGACAAATTGATACACACTGATGTGCAAAGTATGGGGGACATTGGTTCACCCGTTAAAGAGATATTTGAAGATAGATGCGCCTCGAGTTTTTGACCGCACTTAAACACTCTCAATAACCATCGGAAAATTATGTTTAAATTGAATTTTTTTCAAACACAAATAAATTGTTAATTTGAGAGCATATTTTTGCTATATTTAAAGTAGCCAAGTGGCCTTAAACAGCCTTTTCAATGGTTAACAGTAAAGTACTGTGTAAGGGCACACGGCTCTGGAATATGTGTTTTACCCGGTGCATCAAACCACTACTGTAACAAATTTATATTGTGGGTCACAAATAATTTTGTTATGAACATAAAGAAGAAATACTGACCAGCGTCAGTGGTCTAGCGGTTAGGCTCTTCACTGTGTCACAGGGGAGACCCCAGTTCGATTTCGGATTGGGTTTACATTTTTACCGAGTATCTCAGTCTTTGTGCTGCTATGGTGCATTCTTTTCAGCCCGGGTTGACAGGCAGGGTTGGAATCCCACTTCCTAAATGATCTAAATTGTGTTGATTGAGGCGTAAAAGATACATTCATTAATACCCCCCCCCCCCAGAAAATATTGAAAACTGAACCATTTTTTCTTTCAGCTGTACACAATCTATAGATCAGTAAAACAAATAAATGCTTAGCAGAATTTCAGTAAATTCAATAACAGTCTCTCAAGAAATTGCTGTTCAAAGTTGCATAATGAATTTGTGGATAGAGTACAGTTTGACCACTACGAGGGAAGTCTTTTTAAAGAGTCCCCTTTTCCCTGGTTCAATCTTGTATACATCTCCTCCGACTGGATCTTACTGCCACGGAAAACAACCCGTCTCACGAACGGTTAAACAGTGTCGATAAAGATCTGGAGGTAAAACAGAAATTACTTTAACAAAATTATTTTTTTCTAAGTGTAATTTTTTCACATCCCGTCGACACAATTTAGATCATTTAGACGGCGAGCTTCGACACTGCATGCCAGGGCCAAAACGGGCTGAAAGGGTTACAACATCCCAGCAGAAAGACTGAGATACTGGATAGAAATTAATTCTCCCCACAGGGGAATTGAACTCGGGTCTTTAGTTTTAGTAAAAAGTTTTACGACGCTTGCAACACAATGAGCGTATATAAGTGCTGACGATTAGAGGAGTTACAAGATAGCAACAAACACAAAGAAGAAGGAGGAGAGATAAGGACGACATAATGTTTGATAGGAAAGAAGGAGAAGACCGCACCATAGCACCAGCCAACCAACCGAGAACTTGGGTCATTCGCGAGCGACGGCAAGGCGCCCGATCACTGTATCTCAGGCGACGGTTTCCCATAATTAGATATACTGACATCGAAAACAGCCTATCTCAATAACGGTTGTACAGTCTCAATAGGGGTGTAAAACAGGTTACTCTTACAACAGATTCTTTGAAAAAAAATTCTTTACTACATGAAAGCTGTACGTGCTTCTCTCCGCACTGCAGACGATCTCTTCACTTGTTCGGTCTGACCTCCAGTATCGTTCTCTTTCTCTCTCCGTTTTGTGAGTGTTAGCGTTGCCCTATTCAGTTCCCGGCAAAATAAGGTGTTTCCGTGCCGACTCGTCGTAAACTACAACCGCAAACCCCCACGCAAGCTATCCCCATGATGGAGTTGTTCTTCTCTCAGTTTCAGCATCCGTTGTCTTCTATCTGCACTGCAAGGGTTTGTGTTGCGTCTGCGGTGTAGAGGTTAGGCGCTTCGCCTCCGCACACAAAAAACCTGGGTGCGATTCCGGTGAGGGGAGAATTTTCATCCAGTTTCTTGGTATTTCTACTGGGGCCGGGTATCCCTGTCAGCCCTGATTGACCCTCACAGGCAAGACCGAAGCCAGCCCAATAAATAAGCAAAATTATGTCGACAGGTCCATAAAACACCTGTATAAAACAGTTTGTCTTTATTGTATAATTTTAAAGCCTGTTAGTTTTCCTGTTTAGAAGAAGAAGAAGAAGAAGAAGAAGAAGAAGAAGAAGAAGAAGAAGAAGAAGGACCTGACATAGAATATGAAGTGTAGGCTACTTACGCTCAGAAATGATAGAAGGTGTACTTGAACAGTGACATGGTAAAAGAAGGTATACGTTCACAGTGACATGATAGAAAAGTGTAAGGTACTTACACGGTGAAATGGTGGATGAAATGGTGGATGAAATGGTGGATGAAATGGTGGATGAAATGCACTTACGTAGTGAAGTGATAAAATTAATGAAGGTGTACTTACACAGTGAAAATATAGATAAAGGTATACTTATATAGTGAAATGATAGAAGAGAGTGTATTCATACAGTAAAATCATAAATGAAGTATACTTACGCACTGAAATGATAGAAGAAGGAGTACGTGCACAGTGGCATGATGGATGAAGTGTAGGCTACTAAAACAGTGAAATGATAATAAGGCGTACTTACACAGTGAAATGATAAACCAAGGTGTACTTACATAGCAGAATGACAGATAAAGGTGTGCATATTCAGTGAAATAATGAACTTACACAGTGAAATGATACAAAGGGTTTTACCCTACTTACACGGTTAAATGAAAATGAAGGTGTACTTTAGACAGAGAAATGATAAATGAAGTGTACTTACACAGTGAATTAATAGAAGGCTTACTTACACAGTGACATGATATTTATTTGAAGTGTAGGCTGCTAAAACAGTGAAATGATAAAAAAGGCGTACTTACATGGTTAAATGATAGATGAAGTGTAGGCTTTTTGCAGTCAACAGACAGCTGAAGTAAAAGGCTACTAACACATTGACATGACAGATGAATTGTATGCTACTGACACAGTGAATAGGTGGATGAAGTGTAGACTACTAAAACACTGAAAAGATATAAAAAGGTGTACTTACACAGTGAAATGATAGATGAAGCACTTCCAGCCGGTCGGCCGCTCCAAGAAGTTATACACTTTGACCTGCAGCGTGGAGCCCGCCGCGTTCTTCTTGAGTCTCACTCGTATCCGTTCGTCAAGCAGACCCTCAATAGGGCTCACAGCCGGCCTGTTGTCGTTATCATCTCCATCCAGATCCCCGCCTTCTCCGCCCCCACCTTCGTCGTCGTTCCCGTTGCCGGGAGAGAAATTGTCATCTACTTGCCAAGAGAGCTGCGAGGCGGAATCGGGACCCTGATTCGGGTTGAATATCGTGACATCATGGTCTGAGCAGAGTTTCACAACCTTACTGCTACAACTACTACTATCTACAGCGCGGTTTTTTATCATCTCCTTCGAGCCCGGCACTTCAGAGTTCTTGTTGCCCCCGAAATCACTGAGACTCCTGCTGCTTTCCTCTCCTGGTGGAAGGGGCAGAAGTCGGAGTCCCACGGCGCTACCTCCTCCTCCTCCTCCTCCAACACTTCTCCCTTTTCTTTCTCCAGTCGCCACCGAGGCCGGAGGAGCAGACTTGACGTCATCGTCATCATCCTCCTCCGCTCTGAGTCGGGTGAACCCAGTTCGAGACCTCTCCCCAACACCACTCCTTCCATTTCCACCTCCCCTACCGCCTCCTCCCGTGTCACCTTTTCTGTCGTCACTCTCCCCACCAGCGTCATTGGCCGTGTTATCCTCCTCGTCGTCGTCATCGTTGTTGTTATTGGTGTGGTTGTTGTTGTTGCTGTTGACTTTGCTACCCTGAAGTAGCGACATCTCCATACTGGCGATTTGTGAGGGGTCATAGGTCAAGGTTCCCTATGGATGACCTGATTTTATCCACACGGCTGATAAGGGGGCGACTACCGACAATCACCTTCAAGGAATCTCTTTGTCTACCTCATCTGAAAAAAAGAGAAAAATGCAGTCTTAATAATGAGCAAAATTGTACAGGTTTTTATCCCCCGCCCTCATTTGCAACACTGTAAGGGTACTTAAGAGGCAGGACTTCCGAATTCAACCTATATATCTGATAGGACTGAGCCAAATCAGAGCGTTAGTTTACGTACAAGGTTTATGGCATTTGCAACCCAAATAAATAGGTCATATAAGTGCCTTAGATTAGAGGTCTTGATTTTGATACAAAAGAAGGAGCAAATCACACCATAGTGCCCGCTAATAAACCATTATTAGTCGAGCAAACTGGATCCGAGTAGAAGGAGCAGTTTTATCAAGGTCGATACGATAACGTCCCATTTTCGATTGGAATCGAAATGGACAACAATAACTGTTAAAAAAGAGTTTAAAAAATACGAAAAGGCCAAAATCAACCCAGACATTGTTGTTGGATTTGACGAGTAACTTAATTGCTTACACATTGTGTACAGGCAAATCTCGACGTTGTCCAATACATGCACAAACAATATAAGGAGATGCTAAAAAAAAAAACCCACCCCGAAAAAGAAGAGGTTTAGCAACAACAAAAAAACCCAGTCCTAAAAAGCTCTAAAGTAAAGTACGCTGTACAAAGCTATACTTAAGATTGGAACCAGTATGGAGACACTGCAGTCAATATTGACCGAGACACATCGGTGTGACGTAGAATGATAGGTGTTGTCAGTGCTGCTTTCTCAACACTCTACTAGCGAATGCACACCTTTGGGCTACTTTGGCCTAAAGGCGCTTTCCGGACGACGCTGGTACTCAAGGTATCTTTTATGTCAAAAGCTCTCGTATGATTCTTGAAATATATTACTGCATTCTTTAGAATTCTTTGTTTGTTTGCCTGTCTGTTTGTTTGTTTGTTTGTTTGGATAAAAAGAAGCACGTTGACTCAATAAAAGTCATTTAAGACAGGCAGAAACAACAGAAAGAAAGTTAAAAAGTAGGATCTACCGGTGGAACTCTACCACAATATGACGAAGGCCCAGAAGTTGTCTCACTAACAAGGCAATCCCCAATGTCAGGATCAGATGCGGGAACAACTTTACTTTACCGGTGATACCCCACAAATCATCAGTATCGAGATGTCGCTACTTCGGGGTAGCAAAATCAACAGCAACGACAACCCGCCCTTAGAAGTGAGGCACATTTATTGCAAAGAAACAGAACTAGTCATCAGAGCCGTCTGCTTGGTGTTCTTGTAGCAGCCAAGGCAGCTGTAAAAGGGTAAAAACAAAGAGCATACAATGTCGATCATGCGGAGGCCGTAAACGAGGAATCCTGCTGGGCTGCGACGTGGATGGCTCTAGTTCGAATTCCTTATGGGATAGTCTTGACTTTGATTGATAGAGAGTTTTCATTGAGCTCCACCCTCTTAGCTAGGTCCTATCGGATTACAAATCAGGGTTCCTGTCTCTTAAACAACCTTAGGATGCTGAAGGTGTGTTAATCCCATACCCTACCAAACGAATGGTGGCAACAGGTACGATATTGGACAGGATTTTCAAGAAAAATAAATAATCAAATCAAAATGGTTTGGCCAGGAGTGACATGCTGAAAAACTAGTTTCATTGTTTTCGAAAGTTTTGTTCTTTTTAATGCGCCATGCTTAACACAGTGTTTTATTGAAGAAGGGTCCGAAAAGCTATGCCCAACCTTTGGAAAAGTAGCGGAAGCAGAAGGGAGCTGTATTCAAATTATGAAAAGACAATAATTGTCACAGGGGACGCCTGAAGAAATGAAGAAGCTCTTTCAGTACTACGCGTTTTCTCTTATTCGCGAGCCGATAAGCTGGTCCGTAACACAGCAGTCTTAAAAGTGTTTTTGGGGTTTAGATTTAGTAAGAGTTTTACGGCACTTGCACTACAATAAGGTCATTGAAAGGGCCGAAGATTAGAGGTGTTACAAGAGAATAACAAACACAAAAAGAAAAGGAGAGGTAAGACGATATATATTTTTGACAGGAAAGAAAAACATTAAACCATACCAGAGCACCCACCAACCACCCGCGCAGTTTGGAAAGAAATTGAAGGTGCAAATCTCAGAAAAGAGCTTGCCAAATACTCAAAAGACGAGGGGATCTGGGAGGCTTCATAACATGTCACGTACAGTAAACAGAATTATGCCATCCTGACTGCTCTGCATTGAACTGTTGAGGGAAGACAAAAGTGCACTTTTTACAAACCGCCTAGACCGAGACTGTCTGGTTTGAAGGCGAACCTCAAGCTGTGGTATTTCAGGGGTCAATGATACTTTGCAGGTGGTTGGAGGCTGTTACTGGTAGGTCTTACTTTTGTTTGTACCCTTTACCTTTTTAATCTGTTTGTCTTGTTGCACCATTTCCCCATACCCCCCCCCCCCGGTCACGCACCCATTAAGTGTCAGTTTTTGTGTCGGTGTGCATCTCTTTACTAAAACAAACAAAACGAACAATGGCTCGGAAGAATACATGAAGGCCGCCACAAAAGAGAACAAGAGAGAGGACAAAGTAAAATTTACAGGCAAAAAATGCACCCCCCCCCCCTCCTTTTACTACAGAAACATTTTGTTGTATGCCTTTCACATGGAAAAATGGCTGGGAGCCGACAGAAAAGATCGTCATAAAAATGCTGAATCTGGGGCTTTGGACAGGGAACTCAATGTCCTGAGAGGAAAACTTTCTGGGCTTTACAAGGAATAGAACAGCATACACCCCATTATCGTCACTTTAATTCAAGGTAGCGGGGCAGGAAAAAGTAAGAAAGTAAATAGCACGATGTGCGATGAGGGTACTCTAACATCCGTAAGGTCAGAGGTTCCAATCACGGTCCAGGCTTGACATTGTGGCCTTTGAAAATATATCTAAGGGAAGTAAATTTTCCTCTCTTCCCAGAGGTCGGAAAAGATACCCGAATATAACACGAAACGGTTTTGCTAGTATGTGGCTAAAACAGCACCTGGACAATGAAGGCTGGTGCCTCTATGAATAAGTTATTGGTGGTCAGGTTTGCTAGTACGTTAGTCGATGGCGACTGTAAAATGACGGTTTACCCAGAATGCTAGCCTCGAAGCTAGAAATGTTTCGGGATATAATAAAGTCTGGCAGAGTAACCATAAACTGCAAAGCTCACAGAGTAAACTTTCGAACAAGAACGATGATCAACAACTCATTCGCAGGAGTCTCGAATAAAGGAGATGGATCGAAAATAATAGTCTTCAATGATGCCCCAAACAAAAATATTCGATGATGATAATATTATGTGCTAAAAAGTTCAATCTATTACCCAGTAAACTGCAATGTCTAAATTACACACAGTCGGTGGTATATAAGCAGTTATAACACAGCTTGCTCAGCTTACTGGTAGATAAAGTTCACAAGGTTTAAGGACATTACTCATTTATTATAATTCGCCTTGGCTCTAACTCCTAGGCTTTCGGGACGCAATGCTATTCCCACTATCAAGAAAACTATATTCTAAAAAAAAAAAGACCCCAGCAATGACGACAGTGATGGGGGTTATCGATCCGGTACTGTCTGCTATTATTGACCCCGGGACAACAATGATAACAAAAGACAAAAATACACATGAAACAACACAAATGAAAATAGAAACGATGTTTAAAAATATCTTGATTGAAATTACAGATGAAAACGGGGAGAGAACATTAATTAAGGATCAATGGTTGGAATAAAATCTGCGCCAAGCCAGACAGCTTAAGAGATGAGGCGTCTTTTCATAATCGATCAAATCCGATTGCTCTCCTGGTTAGCTCTTTCTTCCAGATCTTTTTACTCAATATCGTATTTGTCGCTTCTAACAAAGGCCGTATTTTTCAATGCGTGGCACCTAACGCTTTGACTTTTTTTGGTATAATCTTTCATCATACAAAAATCCTCAACTGCGTTCTTGGAATGAGTGATTATTTTCTAAATGTCAGGGGAAAGAACAGGCGATTCCCTGGCGCCTCCGGGGTGAGCAAATTCAATAATTTTTTTATCAGTTTCTGATGCATTGCGTGAGGACTCAAAAAAATTCGTTTTGTCAAAATCTTCCGATGAGGAAAACGACTTGGTTCTGAGAGGTTCGGAGAGTGGAAAGAAAATTTTAGGTAGTTTCTTCATGAGTTAAATTAGTTTCTACGATTTAATCAGCGTATGAAGTGTTTGAAATGCAAGAGAGGTTACTATTTCTAAGGTCACAGATCAATAAAAAGTGTAAAAGTTCAACAGTCAAAGCGTGACTACCACGGAAGGCTTACACGATTTTTCTATTACTATCACCCCATTAATGAGCCATCCGTGCATTCGAGTTCAGCATTTTAGTCTTGATAGAGATATAGGTAGGCAGGTAGGTAGACAGAGCGAGAGAGAGAGAGAGAGAGAGAGAGAGAGAGAGAGAGAGAGAGAGAGAGAGAGAGAGGGAGAGAGAAATTGAGATAGAGATAGAGAGAAAGAGAGATAAAACGACAGAGATTGATCGAGAGAGAGGGAGAGAGAGAGAGAGAGAGAGAGAGAGAGAGAGAGAGAGAGAGAGAGAGAGAGAGAGAGAGAGAGGGGGGGGGGGAGGGAGAAAGAGAGGCAGACAAATTACGCAGCCTGTTAAGTGCAATGCAAAGACACGTCCGTATATTGTATTTGTGCCACTTGCAGCTGTTTAAACCTTTCAAACATAATTTGTGTGGCAATGTGGTCAAATAAAGCGCTTGTCCAAAATAATTAAATTATCGAAGACACCGACCTTTTTCTGCCCTTTGGATAATTTTTTTCGATTTAAACAAATTGAGTTCAACACTTTTTATGTCCATTTTAAACATAATATTATTAAAGAGTGGATATTAAAACGTTGATGAAAGGCATAAACAACGTAATTTTGGAGTTCTCGCAGTTACAAGATCTTTGTAAGTAATGTAAGTGACCAAACTTTGGGGGCTGTTTTACCTCCGACTCCAGGGAACCCCCACCGGCCTTCATCAATCGCAAATA